CCACAACGCCCGGCTATTTTTTGGTTGCAGCCGTCATTGTTTGGCGGGTCCGGGCTGGGGATTCGAGCCCGCCACCTTAGCTGTACGTGGCTAGCGCGTTAGCCGGTTGAGCTATAGGCGCCAAGCCAAATTAATATATCTTAATATCTATTTTATTAATATCTAGATTATTCATCTAATATCATTAGGACATGGTATAATTCTCATTTCAAATGAAGGATCTTGGAATTCTAAATTGTGGCTGTCTGTATTTAATTGCAAAGGTAACACAGAAAACAGAGCAGTTGAACTTTTAATGATGTTCTTTTTTGCTACATATCTGGAGTTGCTGCAAAATCTGTTTTTTGACTCATCTTTATATATTTCCCTGCATTGATTCTGTACCTTTATGCTCATGGAGGATATTTGAAGAGCAGATACGTGAATTTCATTTGTTTTTAGACTCATGGTGTCTGTTGAGTACCTAGGTTAGCCTGGGTTGCTGAGTCTTAGAGTTTCCCATGAGAATCCTGCTAGTCTCAGCAGGCAGGGTTCTCTGGTCAGTAACTCCAGTAAGTATGAATTACAAGCAAGGGCTTGTTTGGGGGCTTTTGCTGTTATCTGTTACTGTGTAACAAATTATCTAAAAACTCAGTGGCTTAAACTACAGTATACACCTTCAGCACACAAGGTGAAGAGGGGAGTGTTTAGAGGGGTATTTTGGCTTGAGCATCTTATGAAGGTACAGTTAGGATGTTGTGAGGGCTGTAGTCATCAGATGACTGGACTTTGACTGGAAGATTTGTTTGCGGGATGGCTGGCAAGTTAGTGTTAGCTGTTCATAGGAAGCCCCTCTCTAGCACTGATTGAGTATATTGGTGGTATGGCAGCTGACTTCTCTTAAAGTACATAATCCAAAGACTGAGACAAGAGGATTGCTTGAACTCAGGGGTTTGAAGTTGCTGTGAACTATGACTTCATGACGCTGTAGCCTGGAGCAACAGAGTGAGATTTTCTCAAAAAAAAAAAAAAATCATGATCCAAAAATGTTAAAGACAGAAGCCACAATGTCTTTTATGACCTAACCTTGGAAGTAACATACCATCATTTCTGCAGTGTCCTATTGGCTATATAGGTCAAATCTATTGATTGTGGGGTGTACAAAAGTCATGAATACCAGAAGACAGTGATCACTGCCGGGAGTGGGGATTAATGCCTGAGTAAGGCATTGCTAAATTGGATTTGTGTCCTAACCTATAGGTCCTGGCTCCACAAGGATAAAACATCTGTGGTGTAAGTAGAAAGAAGCCTGAAGTATCTATCATATAAGGAGACCTTCTGACCTGAGACCTGCCTCAGAGGCTAAAGAGTCCTGGGAAAGAGTGGATCCTGAAATTGCTGGAACTGCAGTTTATCTTGACCCTTCTGCCCAGAACAGGAAAGTTGTGAATGACTTCTCAGCCTTCAGAGATCAGCAATAGCTGTATGACAATGGAGTGTTTGACCCACATGATGGAAAGGAGAGGTAGGTGAGGTGGCTCAGAGGTGAGCAGAGCTTAGGAGAGAAGGCTGTTATGTTAAGGGATGATGTGAAAGACTTAGGAAATTCAATACTCTGACCAAGAAAGTTCACATGGGTGTTATTGACTGTGCAAGGTAGATATTTGTTTTTTATTTTATTCACTTGACTATTTGATTTTTTTAATTAAATGTAATTTATATTTTTTTAAAGGGCACATTTAAATATATTTTTAAATGCTATTATATTTTATACAAACAAAATTTCTTATCCCATCTCTTCTCATCCTCTAGTTTCATTCCCCAGAGGCAAATACTTTGAACATTTTTATCTGGATATTCTGATATTCAGCCTTCTGAATGACATCTTCATACTGCTAAGGCTTGATTTCTCAGTTTTAGATATTTTCTATTGATTTTTGACAATGAAGCTAAAGAGTTAGCTTTTTTTTTTTTTTTTTTTTTGAGACAGAGCCTCAAGCTGTCACCCTAGGCAGAGTGCCATGGCATCACAGCTCACAGCAACCTCCAACTCCTGAGCTCAAGCAAGTCTCCTGCCTCCGCCTCCCAAGTAGCTGAGACTACAGGTGCCCACCACAAAGCCCGGCTATTTTTTGGTTGCAGCCCTCCTTGTTTGGCGGGCCAGGCTGGATTCAAACCTGCCAGCTCAGGTGTATGTGGCTGGCGCCTTAGCCGCTTGAGCCACAGGCAAGAAGCCAGCTTTTTTTTTTTTTTTTTTTGCTACCTAACTCCTTCCTTGTC